GCCCTGCCTAGCGGTTCGCCATGAGGGGCCTTCGTAGGTAGCCCCAGTTGGGGCTAGCTCCCCAATGTTGATGATGTAGATGCGTCCTGAATAACGTAGTCTCTCACTCCCCTTCTTTGCACCTTTCCTGCGACAGGGTGAGCTTGGATGTTGCCTCCCTGTTCACCAAAGTCCCGCTTGATTATGTCTTCGTTTTCTTTCAGAGGAAGCTCCTCTTTTCCCTCTGCCAATTTTTTTTTCTCCTTTGAGGGTCGCTTCTACTTCAAGGCCTTAGGCATTACCGTGGACTTGTTCATGGGGCACTTCGAGTCTGAGCTCCCTTCCATCTTTCTGTTTGGCTGAGGTATGCTGACGACGTCTGCTCTGGGAACACGTGACTCTTCTTCCCGGATTTCCCGACGGAGCTGAATTCTCCATTTGTTTCAAGGTAGATGGGAGGTCCTCAATATGTTCCTCTTCTTGGATATTTTGATTTATCGTTCTGCTATTTCTCCTTTTCAGTATACATGAAACCCATGCACAGTGAGATGTACACACACTTCTTCTCATACCACCCACTCTATGTGAAAAGAGTTGTTACTCCTCTGCTCCTCCACTCTCCGCATCTGTGACTCCCCAGTATGTGGATGGAGAGATCGATTTCTTACAATGCGTTATTCAGGCCACGGTATTCCTCCTACCATGACTTATCTCAGAAAGACTCCTTATCTGCTTATTCTCAACCTGCCCCCACACTGATGCAGTCTACTCTCTCTGTTGCCCCCTTCACCCTCTTAACTACTGGCTTTAGCGAGGCAAACACTCTTCCCTGTAAATTGGTCCACACCAGTCCTCTCTCTACCTCGAAAGTGGGTACCTATGCTATTCAAGCCTTCTGTGATAAGCGGTACTTTTGGTAAGATGTGCCAATGTCACAAAACGTCTCAACAAATGTCTCAATAAATATATCAAGGGGATACACCAACAACACCTATTTCTATCATTAGTGGGGAACAGGCCGTCAGATGTATTAGTCAGCAGTGCGAATTGTTTTCCCTTTCGCTAATGTCCATGTCCTCATACTGGTAGAATCCTCCCTGATAAATAAGTTACTTAATTTCAACTTTAACAGTTTTATTTTCTCCTCACGACGGTGCCGTAGCTACCTACATTACTCCCTTTTGCCGGCCACCCTTCGCATAGACCGCCTGACCCTTTGACTGACCTGTCTCCGATCCTATTTACCTGTCCTAATCTAACCCATGGCCCAGTAGGACAGTAGGACTATATAATTTCCACCCACTCCGTGCATGACGTCATATGTCCCACAGTTTGGTCCATTCCTCCACTGTGACTTTTCTTAGTACTGTATCAGTTATTTCCTTTAGGATATTGTTTTTTTTTGTGTGAAACAGTTTCATGCTTCATATTAATAATAATAAAAAAAAACATAAGTTATTTGTAAGTGGGCTTAACAGTGAAAAAATGGCACTTACGTGAAGGAGCTCTCGGCTCAACTAATTTTTCCTGGTCTTTTCTCCTGCTTTCATTTTCCTTATCTTCCCTTACCCCTTCCCCTGTCCAATTCCTAAGGTGTTAGAGCCGTCTTGAAAGGATGAAAGGCTGACTTTGTGCCAGTCATGAACGACATCAGGGAACCATGGGCACAGTATCCTCTTGATTAACTGTCAAGCTTTCACCCCTCATGGGGACCTTTTACCTTCCCCATGGATTTCATGCATACCATGGCCAGTAATGAAGATTTTCAACTCTTATTAGGGGCAATGAGGCTTGATCCTATATCACCTAGCCTCTCTAAATATAACTCCTCTGGTTTACCGACCCTGACTCTCCTTTGATCACAGCTACGACCATTGGTACTACACTCCCCTCGTTGACACTTGCTGTCCACTTTACCCATCCTGAATCACCTACCCATATTATAACTAAAACTCCAGAAGACACACCCTCCTCAACCTTAATATCCTCGACCCCATCTCCTGCCCCATCATCTCCATTTCCTATATCCTCTTGCCTTAGTACAACTCTTCAAGCTTATTGCTCTCCTCACAGCACTACCTCACTCCACACCACTCTCTCTTCCTCCCGGCCTCGCCCCTCTACAATTTACAGCTCTACTGACCTTTTGGTACTCTGTTTAGCCCAGCTAGGTGGAATCGATTTCGCATTTTTCTTCGCCGATGGATAACAATCTACTAACCCTCCCTACCTATTGACTTCATAGCCTTTGAAACCTTACCTTTACTGATAGTTGGAGATTTTAATTATCGCCCTAACGCTCTACTCCACTATCTCTACCCGAGGTTGCTCCTTAGAACCCTCTCTTAAATAATGACCTTATCCTCCTAATTTGAGACCCACTCACTTTGACATGCGCACCCAATCCTTTTCATGCCTTTTTTTTTCTCTTTGGTCTCCTTTTTCTAATTTTCTATGTCTCACTTCCCAACTCCCCTTGCTGGTGCTTTGGCAGAGCTGACTGGTGTACCTTTACTTCTCTCCCTACTCTTGATCTTCCCCCATGATCCTTCTCTTCCACTTCAGACATGCTTCTATACTTCACAGTCAATATCTAAGTGCAGACTATACAACCATCCCTCAAACCTCTTGACCATACACATCCAAATGTGTTCCATGGTGGAACCTAGAATGTACTAAGGTGCTTCGGTTGAAGTGTGCAGCCTGGAGCAGCTGTCACTACAAGAGAAGCAACACATCAATTAACATCCCTAATATATTTTAAAAAGGCATTAGTTCATTTTTGCCATTCAATCCGAAACTTCATGACAAACAAGCTATTAGGTAAACATTCTCCTCATCCTGCCTTCATCCTCCATATCCACAATAGCCTCAACTGTGATCCTCTTCAAGTAACTACTGTAATTGGTAGGAGGGATCCCCAGCATTGGGCCTCGGTCTCCATCTCCTATGCCCCACCACAACAACAATGGGCAAGGGATTGAGTGGGTAGAAAATACACTGAAATAACACCATAAAATATTCCACAGTCTGACTGTCATATGTGGGATGAAGCTGATGATGTCATTATGTTTAGCCAATATGTGTGCCTTGAAATATCAGATATAGCTATATATATCAGATATAACAATTATTTGTATTATTTACTTGATATTTTTATAATTACAAAGTAAAACCAAAATTCTCCACTTTTATGTATAAAAACAAAGAATTACTTACCATTAACCCCTATGATCTGAACGATGTAACCATCTCATTATGAAAAAAAATTGGCTAGAGAGGCGGGTGATGTGAACATGCTGTCAGGGGAAAATTTGGCTGTTGCAAGAATTTTGACTGAAGACTGGGGTGACTGGAATGACTCACCATGAGTGCACAAAGCTCTTGGAAGGTAATTACTCATTGGGAATTTAGGAAGGGACTTTTGCATTATTTCCATCAATAAATGAATATGGAATACACCATCTGTGAGCCGTGACTGGAAGAGTGCCAGCTCCAGTGAGGACACAATTTCCATTCTCAGGATCCTTTTCCTGCCTACCATGACTAGCAGCACAAGTGTTATTATAGAAAATTGAATATTACTTAATAAATAAAATTACACAAATAGCAAAAGGTTACTTAGTGTTATTATTACACTGAGTTATGGGCTACCTAGAGTTGATATGGAATCTGTGCAAAGAAAACCGTTTATTATCATAATGCAATTCATATGACAGACAGACATTTGAATATGGCAAAAATGCTAAAACTGCTTATGTAGAAAAAGAGAAAATAACATTGTAAAGGGGAGGCATAGTATTTGATCAATGCACACTAGTGTTCATGTGTGCCTGACTTTGATAAGTTGCACTTATCAAAGTAGCCCCTCAAGTAAACCTAATGCTTGTCTCTTGGGCCATGTGCGGGCAGCAAAGCATCCAGATCCAAGCCCTCAGAATATTTTCAATTTGAGGTTTAGCGGGCTACATGGAAGTGGAGCTACATGGTTATATGTACCTTTCCAAAAACTATGTCTAATGCATTACCTAACACTCCCGTTACTAATATATGTCTCCAATATTTGAAAATCTATTATTCACACAAACCTCTAGCATTCCTAAAAGACAGAATGCAATGTTATTGATATATGTTTTATAGGGTATATATTTTGGAAATTTTAACCCATTGCTGCCGGGGATGGCATATATGTACATGCCATGCCCACTGTGAGTCAACTTGTTTGATTGTTTTTACACATAGATGGCTACACTTGTACTCAGTCACCAATGAGTCAATTACGAATACTGCCTGTCTTGCCCGTTCACCCTTTTCATCGATTTACGAAAATATTTAACGTTATCCTAATCTGATGTTAAAAATAACACCATCTATATTTATAGCACTAGTAAGAATACGTTTTTTTCCTGCCAATTCAAGGAAAGGTGAAATCAGGACTAGCACAGCCATCTATGGACAGAGATATTTCACAAAAATATAAAAAATGAGTACTGCATTTTCCCCATTTTTTGTTCATTTGGGTTAATATGAATGTATCATTTTGTTTACTGGATTGTAAACTGGATTGTTTGAGGATCCTTTAGCATTAACCTAGTAAGGTAACAAAAAGTTATTAGTTCAATAATATTAAGGTTTGCATAATAGATTTCATATTTTCCAAAATATAATGAATAACTTTGCTAAACTGTATTTAGTAGCACCAAAAGGGGTCATAAAATCTGCACATATGTTTTTCAATAATCAGAATAAAACATATTACACCATCTCAATTTCACTTTCATCTTATCATATTCTCTGTTAATGTTTTTAAAATTGTCATATAATATAAATGAGAAATTTAAACTAGTGAGCATCTATAACAATATTTTGACTATTAAAACAAATCTTTCATTGCCTAAACACAATACAAAATAAACAAATGAGTACACTACACATCATAAGAGGTTATTGTATATTAATAAAGGATTGCTACATAAACTGCCAAGTTCAAAAGTGATATAAAGGGAATGATACACCAGACA